ATCTTCCATACGCATCTAACCTTTCTAAAGAGCTGATATCTCATGTGTAAACTGCCCACTCAAATGAAAACGTCACGCACTGACGTCCGTCATAGCAGGTGTCCGTTTCTGAAGAGGCGTCCACTAACGCTCGGCGCGTCTCCTCCCACAACACGTGAAAATACGCAAAAGGCACAGATGTTTACGAGAGCGTCACGATGACGCAACTGACAAATATCAGCGCGGGCTCCACTTTTCCAACCCGTGAGCACGTGTCGAGTGTGAGAGGTCCGGCTCAGCGGGTGGAAGCGTTCCTTTCGACCCACAGGCTTTCCAGCGCTATAAACCATGTAAACTCGAATCGACTATTCCCCACACACAAGAAGATACGATTAAAATGCAAGATGATGGCCACATCAGTATCACGAGTCATCTAGTTCGAGCTTATTCTTCTCTATCTGTATATCTGTCTTCAGCCATCGCTGTAGTACCGAGCTTAACTTTATCTACTGGTGAGGGAATAGCTAGTGTAGGGGGGGAGATCAACGGAGCGAGTAGCGCAGCAAATTGCGCACCGTTAAACTTGAACTGAATGCGATAATTGCCTTTCCTCGGGCCTATATGAGTCAATCCTAGAGGAATTCTGCTTCAAATGTTTAAAGCTGCGAAACAAAACCAGACATTCGCGTCCTTCATGTTATCTTTTCCTTTTCGCTCTATCCCACCCCTTCCTCTCTCGCCTCCTCTCTCTCTGCTCTTTTCTCTCTCTATCTGGTCTCTCTTCTCTCTCTCTCTCTCTCTCTCTCTTCTCTCTAATATATATATATATATATATATATATATATATCTTCCTCTCTCTTTTTCTATTCTCTATCCTTTGCTCTCCCACACACACTCTCTCGCATCATCTCACTCTTTTATTTTCTATCGCTATCTTTCTCTTTCCCTTTTCTCCCTCTCACCTTCTCTCTCTCTCTCTCTCTCTCTCTCTCTCTCTCTCTCTCTCTCTCTCTCTCTCTCTTCTCTCTCTCTCTCTTCTCTCTCTCTCTCTCTCTCTCTCTCTCTCTCTCTCTCCCTAATCTCTCTGCCGGTAAGCTCTACCGTTGATTAACTATCATGTGTACACAAGGTTATTTCAGGGATTGGCGACAACGGCAAAGTAACAATAGCACACACTATACGCGGAAATAATCAGCAACACGAAAATTCACAACAATGAAAGCATTACATGAAAAAGTTTAATCAAACATTTCTCAAGCCTATGCTTTCTATTTGAATGAACATAAAGGTAGCTTAACCCGTTTCTCGCTGCGTCACCCACTTTCCACCACTTTAGATTATAGGGTAAATGCACGGTGATAAAAGGTAACGAATATTTTGTCAATATTGAAGCAGAAATATCTGTTAAGGAATTTATAGATAAGATGTGTCATCTCCAAGTGATCTTGCATTTGTCGCAGCTGCATTTGCGCAGAGATCTTAGTCCTCCCAATACCTAGATAGTTTCAGTGCATACACCACAGCACTTTATTCATGCTAAATGACCACAAATTCGGTCTGCAGACTTCAATCTAAACTTTTGCCTGCGACATGACGCCAACTTCCAGCAGTTTTGCCAGTTCGAGTTTCATACTCAAACAACGGACCGGTTACCATGGCTACGTTACTAGACTTTCCATGCTCTTTTGACGTTTATACTGCATCTAACTGACGTGTACAATGCAGATTAGGGTACTTTAATACCGAATATTTTCAGGAGAATTGAGAAAACGGCCCTTTCCCAGAATCGAAGCAGTGCAACGGTGAACTATTGACGGAATGTTACCGTTGCGTGCCACATATAGCACACCTATAGAAAAATGCAGCATGTTGCATCATACAACACTTACAACATACAACGCATCTTACAGCATACGTGCAACAGCATGCTAAAACAGCAGGTTGCAGCATACAACGCGTTTACAATAGCATACCTGGTGTTTTTATAACAGCACGCGCAATTTAGATCAGAAACGCCAGAAAAATTTTCGAACGCGATACAGGTGAACCGGTTTCCATCTGTTCACACATTATTTAACCGTTAGTTTCATTTGTCCTCGATGTTTCGCCGAACTGCGCTTCAATCAGCATGTTCAACCGCTAGCTATAAATACCACTATAATGTGTAAAGTAGAATCGCATCACACACCGACCTTGTCGACGTACCAGTCATACACGAAGAGTCCTCAGCAACCGTTGCTTAATCATCACATCATAGCAGCCTGTACAGAAGTCATCAGTTCTTTGTATAGCGATACAGCGACTCATGCATCAGAGGCTTACACAGGAGCGCGTCGCACGAGTTCTAACGCGTGTCTTGTCCCGTAGTGTATCTACAGACACACACACACAAACACGACTTAACTAACTCAACGCCAACTCGCGTCTGCGCTGAGAGAGAGTGAGAGCGTTCGAGTGATACGTGAAGTTCGTAGTCCCAGAACCTCGTAGAGTCGAGTAGCGAGAGAGAGCGTGTGTGTGAGAGAGAGAGAGAGAGAGAGAGAGAGAGAGAGAGAGAGAGAGAGAGAGACGACGCTAACAAGCGGTAGCGGTCTGTTCTCGTCTGTTTATCTTGGCGGCTTAGGCAAACAGCAGCGGCATCAAACCTAGTCCCATCCGAAAACAAACAGGCCCGCCAGGCTATCGTCGAGCCCCGCCATCCTAAAATGCACCCGCCACTCTAAATATCATAGCCGCCATGCTAAAATTAGCTAAAAAATGCTAAAACTAGGACCGTAAAGGCAGCCCCGCCATGCTATAATGAAAAAGCTTGGAGAACCATTACTTGTCTGATTATATGTCTGATTATATTATTTCTGGCTGTTAGCCGGTCTGTCTAGTAGTGATATATTTCCAATAGGTGGGAGCAGTTATGCTAGAGTGCAGAAAAACGTTGGTGTGGAAACTCAATCGTAAGAGGACTGTAACAACCAAATCCGCAGCATTGCACGTTCTAGCAATTCTGGTACTTTCTTCTACAGTACATGCAGGTGGCAATCTGTTATTATTTATTTATTAATAAGGCCAACCTAATTTATTAATTTGAGAATTGGTATATTGAAAGTATATGCTTTTGAAAACAAGTTAATTGTGATGTGTTGAACTTGATAGGAAATTCTAAAATGACCACTTTTCAGTTGTGAAGGAATATTGAATAAAAGTATGATTTTCATTCATGTACCAGCCAAGTCAATTTTGCCTTACGCGTATCACTGTGATAATACTGTTGTGACACATTAACATAAACTGAAATAAAGAAATTGTGTTATAAATAATAATTATTTGTCTTAGATTTATTTGTAAAACAAGCAACTTGTTCATAATTTTAATTTCTACACAAAATCCATATTCATGGTTGCATTATGTTAGCAGTTACTTATATGGTAGCGTGAACAACGACATTACTATATTGCGCTACATCTGACCTGTGCAGCACATGCACAAGCTTGCAAAGAATTGACCCTTTTGGCAAAGAGAATAAAGTTAAGTAATTATAATCCATTGCAAGGCACCAATCATTAATTTCCAGCAACCAATGGCCTAGTTTTATACATTTCATAGGCAAATTTTTCAGTGTGGTGTGCATCATAGTAAACTCCAATAAAATCGATCTCTAGTTGAAAAGAACCTGGTATTGCATCCATGCAAGTGATTCCAAGACCACTGATATTGCCTAGAGGAAGCGCTGATTGCTTGTCCTGGATTCGTCCTTTAAATGCTAGGAAGAATTTTGAAAAGGGAATCTGAAAATATGAAATAGAGCAAAGAAAGTTATTTTCTTTGACATTTGAACAATATTTATAAACTTCATCATTTTTTATAGTATTACATAATTTTTTCCATAGTATATAAATAATAGAAGAGCACAGGTCGTCACCACATCAGCACGGCGGTGATGCGCTTAGGCAAATTCAATCATCATCAGTTGTTCACCCTGGCCAACGCTTTTTCGCGAAAAAAAAAATCTTTCTCCGGGCACAGCACGCGATCGATGTAAATTCGGGGTTAAACTCTGCGAGGAGCACACGAGCCAAGCTGCCGCCGTGCCACGGCTACCCGGGGGAGGTCGCCACTGCTGTCAGTGCCAATTTGGAAACCATTCAGGCAACGTGGTCCCTTGGAGGAAGAGCAGCGGCGGCAACTGCTAATGCAACTCAGAGGCGTAAGAAGCGAGCGGTGGGGTGAGGCCACGGAGGCGTATTCTCGGGCAGAGGTGAGAAGGATAAGAGAAGGAGAGAGTGAAGGTTGAATGTTATGCGATTCACAGATATGGTGATTAGGAATAAGTTTAGCGGAAGCGACAGCGGATATATATATGTATATATATATATGTATATAGGCCTATATAGGGTTTGTAAAACCAAAAATTTTCTTGTGCGCTCCGCTCAGATAGTCGTGCCTACAACTTTGAAAATCCTGGCTACGCCCCTGCTCGCCTACTCCACTAACAAGTCTTGGGAGTCGCCTACGCCTACTCCCTAACCCTAACCATATTACTGGTAGGTACGGCACTGGTACTGGTAGGTCTAGTACTGACAAGTTGTATTTATTAACCATCATTTTATTATTGAAATGGTCCAAGTGCCTGTGTACCGGACTGTACCCAGGGTACGTTCCGGCATAGACCGAATAATTCTGTCCCATATAACCTTTTTTATATTTTGGTGAGGGTTATATTGGGTCAGAACGGGGTTCATTGAAATTTCGTGAGATCGCATGAAAAATGGATGCGCTGCTAATTCGGCCCGTACGCCGCTATTGGCGGGATAAAAAATCTACCGATACACAGACCTGTGCATCACTTCGTGGACCACAAATGGCACAATGTAAATAAGTGTGCTAGTCATGCTTTTTGTGTATATAATATCCTTGGTAATTATGCAATTTTATGAATTCAAATTTTTATTGTAAAAGTATGCAATGTATTGTATATGATGATGGATAATTGCCTAAATAAATAAATAAAATAAAATAAAAAATACCTAACTTCTAAGGTGCCTAAAGTGGATTTGCACCGACCCTAGCTATGAGCCACAGTAATAGTAACTGAGTAACATACCTGTGTTACACGCACTGATATCAAAGATATGAATTATATATAATTATGACCAACCATAGATATAGCATAGATACTAACCCAAGTTGGGTTAGTATCTATGGATATAGAATAGAAGAGTTTCTATTCTATATCTATTTTATGGACCAACCAAGTACCAGCCAAGGAGATGTTGTACTCATAGAAATAGATAGACAACTAGAAAGGACATGCGCTATGCAAACATTATAGGGGGAGTGTGCATCACTCGTACCGGCGCGGAAGTGTGGCACCAGGGGGGGGGGCACTCCCTACAAACTCCCTTATAGGCCGGGGGTGCCCTGGGGGGCGCTCCCTTATATTTTATTACTCCCTACAAAATAGGGTACGTATGTGCCACTTGAGAGATGGTATTGGGGGGCTCCGGTGTCACGGTCTGAGATTGCACCGGTCTGAATTTACCCCCAGCACGTCATGCGCATGCGTCATGCATGCGCAGTAGCGCTGGATAAATGAGACTGACACACCAGTCACTTTCAGTTCGACAAACGGTTTACCATCGAATCACACGTTTCACAACTAAATGCGTGCATGGTAACCACCAATAATTCCAAGTCTTTCGCGGATTTTGTCACACACAGTTAAAGTACTTACACCGTGGTTGCAGTGTTGCAGAGAGCAATAACAAACTGCATCTGTTCGTATTTTTGACAAATAGCTAAACTTTGCTAAAACAAATGGCACTAAGATGCTGACTGTGACCGCGGCAGCCTCATATTTACCCAGTGCTACTGCGCTTTACACCCAGCGCTACTGCGCATGCGCCATGCATGCGCACGACGTGCTGAGGTAATTTCAGACCGGTGTAATCTCATACCGTGACACCGGTACTAACTCAGCACATCAAAATGGGGGTCTCCGGAACTAGGGTTTGCTGGAAATCATGATGCTCCGGAACTGGACATGTTTGCGAAAAGGGGTCTCCGGAACTGGACATGTTTGCGAAAGGGGTCTCCGGAACATGCGGAAAAAGACATGCGTCTAAACAGAGGAATTGCTCCGACCTGTGATTGGAGGATAAAAATAGAATTCGTGACGTTTCATTTTCATTTTGAAATTTAGCCTATGAGTGATACCGCGCGTACATATTTGCTAATTAATTAAGCTAATCGTGCTTCAATAAACTCAAAATTCACAGAGATTATAGCTAAGCCATCCATGTGTCTAGAATAGCTAGAATTTATAGCAATGTAACTCAAATCGTTCGCGCCATATGATAGTTAGTACACTTTCCTACCGGTCATAGCGTATGCGGTGGGTAGCTCTAGTACTAGCCCTTCACTCCGCCGCAGGCGCCAGTACTAGATCTAATGCGGCGGGGTATGCAAAATGAAAACGAAACGTCACGAATTCTATTTTTATCCTCCAATCACAGGTCGGAGCAATTCCTCTGTTTAGACGCATGCCGGAAAAAGTATAGGACCTATGCTGCGGGAGGGGAAATGTGTGAAAAGGAAGGTCTCTGGAACGTGCGGAAAAAAGTAGAACCTATGCTACGGCCCACGGGACAGGAAATATGGAAAAAGGGGGTCTCCGGTGCGGACAAATGTAGGACCTATGCTCCGAAACAGGATTGAAGTATGTGAAAAGGGGGGTCTTCGTCTGCGTCTCTGAGCCGAAATTTTTAGGTGAAGAGGGCGGTCATAACCGCGGCACAAACCTACCATTCGATTATAGAAATATATTAATTATAATATAGGGACTATAATACTAATAGTAATATCGACTAAGGGAGCGACTAATAATAGCGCAGATAAGGTCTATGTCTCCCTGGTTACTGCCAGAACGTACCCTGGGTATGGTCCGGTATACCGGAACGTACCCTGGTAACTATCTAGCTGATATGGTTAGGGTTAGTGTTAGGGTTAGAGTTAGGGTTAGTCACAAGTTCCCTTCTCGCTTAAAGGCATAATAGGCCCATCGATTATGCAATTTTAACGAATGCTAGAGTAACTGGCACCTTGTTTAGTTAATAAGTACATTACCTTATAGCCAAACGCGTATTAGTTTGTCCAATATCACAGCTGGTTACTAAGAAATGTCTAATTGAAATCCGCAGTCCACGAAATCAGTTGACTGACTTGTTTACAGTTTCGAAACCGCATAATTCGAAACGGGTGTGATACAGATTTATAGTCCACCGGACAATTTGGATTGATGGCCAAAGAATGGAGAATCGTGTCGTACGTTTTAGTCTGTATCTCCGGATTGCGGGTGTATACGAGGAAACTATTTCGCACGATGCTATGCGAATGTACTGTGTCCGATTTGAGCTCAAGTTGGATAAGTTACGCGTAGTAAATCGTAGGTAGTATAAGGCTAGTAAATGACGAATTTCCCTTGATTATTGATGTCACACCCCTTCCCTATTATCTACTCCTGCTATTATATATCAATATGGCTAGTTGGTAACGGGGCTAGGTAATCGTGTTTCTAGTAAAAAAATAAAGTGCAAATGTTAGTGTTCATGGAAATTCTTTTAACATTGGTAGCCACCGGTGCATGGCTTTATTATATTTATGATCGTATAACAGTTAGAGAATTAGAATCCTTTGAATCTGTTGACTGGTGATGCATGTTTCTCTAGGCGACGTACTGTAGTGAGACGAATAAGCCCCAGCATACCACAGACACGCACAATAAATGCGTACGTAAAATTATACTCAACTACCCAATAAATATGATAACCCACTACTAATACACCTATGTAGCTTATTAAAGCTAAAATTCACATGGTACACGGAATTTATGAGGACTATCGCCCGGTTGCAATTTAAAACCTGCCTCGTTACGCCATCTATTGGTCAAAAAATTTCCTGTTAACGCAAGGAAAATGTGGAAAACAACCTATAGTGTGGAGGGCGCGCTCCGGTTGATAGAAATCATATAGAATTAGATGAATGAGCATTTTGTTCGGAATGGTGCGATTACGCACTCATCCGATTCAAAAATGGCCATGGTGGATGTGGTGGCACTGTTCTACTGAAGATCCCTTGCTATACAACAACTTGCGGTACAGCTAGGGATAGGGCGCGGACACGTCAGCGACCTGTCGCCAAAAGAAAATGACGTAGGGTCGACGTTAAGCAATTAATCTGGAGTGTGGCATGCCTACAGAAGGTGCGTATAGAAAATTGCACTCTCGCCACTTCAATGTGGTGGCACTATTCTGCCGAAGATTCCTTGTTATACCAATGTGGAAGCGGGCGGGCCGACAGCATAATTATGTACTTGTTAAAATCCAGTTTATAATATTAAATTTGTTCGCAGCATCACTCCCTGGGTTCCCAGCTATGCTAATGTACATGGAAAAGACGCTCCGACGTCGGTTGTCGTTGACTGCCAAGAGAATTTTATTCGGACGTTTTTATACGTTCAAAGTGGAACCGGGCAGGCTGACAGTACGTGTGCTAAAATCCTATCTATAATATTCACCTTGCTCGCAGCAAATGCATTTTCAGCACAAAATATAACACCTCTGGTGAGATATTGCGCATGCGCTCAAACAGTAACGTAGGCAGATTATGTACCGAATGGTATAATATGCAGTGGGAACCTTACATGCAAGGTCTGCTTCCTATTTCATAAGTGAGGTCAACTGATGGCATATTATCATAGAAATCTATGCTGGGCTAACCCCTCTTCTTTTTAAATTCATAATTTTGGTAAAATATCATTCTTTTTGGGAGATAGTGCGCATGCGCGACCACCGTATCAGACGTGCAGCACGGCCTAAATAAAAGGACGTAATATAGCTTGCTGCGGGAGCGAGGGGTGGGAGACTGAGGGAAGGTGGCAGGGAAGACAGCCGAGAGGGTGGAAAAAGAAGGAGGCTGAGCGTGCGACAAAGGAGACAAGGGAAATAGTCAGGGGGCAGATTTCAAAAAGAGCTAAAATAAGGATGAGCTTAAACTTTTTGGGTAGAGGCTGGAAACGGGTAAATATCATTTCTATGATACTTGGGGAGTTCCACTGGGTATGTTTCCAGGCTGACTTTTGCGTATTGTGGCGGCCATCTTGAAATCCAAAATGACCGCCAGCGAAAATGGATTTTCTGAAATATCTGGACTCCCCGACGTCGTAGAGACATAATGTTGGTGGCTATACCCACATTTTCGATAGTGGAGAACC